AACGCTTGAGCAAGTTTTTTTAAAACTCATGATTTTCGACCACTTTTGCAATTACTATTTTTTCTACATAAAATAAAAATGGGTGCAGCTACCCCAGCTTCCAAGGGTTCCCCTCCGGTCGATAGTAGTTTTGTCGATGCCCCCATGCCCGACCTCCGTATTGTTTTTAGAAAAAACGGGTGCAGCTACCCCAGCTTCCAAAGGTTCCCCTCCGGTCGATAAGGCTGGTCATAATGGGGAATAACTTATATTAGTGTCATGCATATGACACTGGTCTAAGTTACTACCTTTATAGTGCAAAGTAACATAGTAGTATTGTCATAGATTGCTTCATTTATTAACTCATAGACTCATTTTGCATCGGGAAGCGCTATGTTATAGTAACATATTATGTTACCACAATCACCTTTTTCTTCATTAAATACTTGACACATAAGCAAAATTGTCTCGGGATGTGTTAAGTTACTAGTTACCCCACTATGACTAGGCTAGTCATAGTGGGAGTAACTTAGCTAGTAACATAGCACACTTCGAGAAAATTTTACTTATGTGGCAAGTAATTAATGAGAGGTGGTAACATAATATGTTACTGTAACATAGCGCTTTTCAAGACAAGATGAGTCTATGAGCTAATACATGAAGTCATCCATGATACTACTATTATATTACTTTGCATTATGAAGATAGTAATTTAGAGTAGTATCATATGTATGACACTAGTCTAAGTTACTCCCATTATGACCAGCCTAATAGTCTCGTAGATGCCCGACCTCCGTATTAGTATTGACTTGAGCCCATCGCTGCTCAATGCCTGGCTGTCCTGAAAGCGAAGTCGCAAGTGGGCGCTATGGAGTCCAGCTAGCACCGCCCGTCATCGCGTACCGGATCGACCTCCCCATATATCCACGATAAGTCCAATCAGCGGCTTCATTAGTCAGTTCTAATCACCGGTTGCTTCCTCCGTAGCTAGCTCCCGTCCACCTGATCTGCCTTGCGTGCCTACTCCACCGATTAGTTAAAGCCAATGAATAGCATTCCTCCGAGGGTACTATAAGTGCTCGCGGTCGTCGTCGTCGTCGTCCCCATCCCCTCTCTTCTCCATCGCCTTCTAGCTAGCAGCAGCGCTCTCTTCTTGCTCTTCGCTATCCTGCCCGTTGTCCTCTCCCTCTTGGATCGATCCGGCCTTCGCCGGCCATGAATTGCGCCGGGGTCGCCGATGGGTTAGCTGCAGGCGAGCCGGATGCCGGCGTCGTCGGCCTGCCACGTAGGAGGAGCTGCCTGTAGTGTAGCTGAGCTATAGTGGTCGATCGATCTGCTGCTTCTTGGGGGGCGAGGAAGAAGAATATAGCCGAGGCTTTGGCGCCAGCTCTCAAGGACAGGTGCAGCTCGATTTCTTGCTTAATTTCAGAGTGATTTTGTGTTGGTTACTACTCTATTGGTTGCTTTCTGTGGTTTTGATTTGTGCTTTGGACGTGAGCTGGATATGCTTGCGATCTGGACTTAGCTTCTTTATTAGTATTTTTCTTCTAGAGATGATCACCGTGGAACAAGAGAGACTAAAGATCAAAGGTTGAAAAAAAGAGAAGAGGCCCCAAATCCCCAGTAGCACATCACAGTTCGTAGTAGTAGTACCAACTCGTCCCCTCTCTCTCTCCTTTCCCCTCCATTCTTGTCGTAGGAAGGCTCTGCTTCTCTTTATTTACTACCTCCCTAGTAACACCATTGAGTTCAATCCTCCAAGCAAGATTGGGAGTAAGGACATCTCCCGTATCATCAAATTGACACAGCGGACTAGGCATCGACCATCCAGATGTGGACATTAAATGTCATATTTTCTGAAAAGAAGGATTATCTCAGCATCTGCATTAAAATGTTGCATGCGGCCATCTTTATTGAATTATTTAACGGAGTCTGACAAAGCAGATACATGAATCGACCCAAATCACCTTCCCGACGACCTCAATCGCTACCCCTACAAATTTGATGGAGTGCGCTGGCCCATCCACACACGCCATCTAATCTGATGGTCTCACGAGGCTGTCACACGGCGAGCCGATAATACCAATCGGTCTAGCAAACCCTCAGCATGCACCACATGCGCACGTTTTAGAATCCACCTCGCTATTTTTCGCCTTCCCATCTTTATGAAGAGATCAATGCATAGGCCTTGTCAGGCCCAACTGTTGTCCATGCCGCCATGACCCTACACGCGTCCATGGACACATGTCCAAAGTTGGGGCCTCGCTGCGCCACTCCACCGAGAGGGGAGAGGAGGACGAGGAGGGCCGGGCGCCGACGACGGCGGGTGGCCTCCCCTGGTGCCCGCAGGAGCACTAGAGGGATATCCTATTTTTTGTCTGACCCATTCAAACGAATAGAGCAATAAAACATACGAAATTGAAGATAAGCAGATGAAATTTAATAAACTTTGGGATATTTACAACCAACCGGACAAAATTTAATAAGTTCAAATTAAGTTTAAACTAAACTAAACTAGGCGAGGTACCGGAAGCTGACCTCGTAAGCATAGCCTGTAAGGCCGTCGGTAGCTTCGACGCCTACCGTCGTCATCGTCTCGCAAATGGCGGAAGGTCCTCCAGGCGTCGTGGCTTCCCCGCTTGACCGCTGTGGGGCGCTCCCAGACGCTTTGCTGTACCTTCACTGACTTGCGCCGCTTGTCTTCGGCGACATCAGCGGCTCAGATGTAGGCGACACGCTTAGACTATGCCAGCCCCACTTCGAGGAGTTGGTCGTTGAGCCGGCGCCGATGGTCCAAGCCTCCACCAGCACCCAAGCCGACGACACTTGACTATTCACGAACATCGCCCTTCGCGTTCTCGGGCCACCACCTCATAGAGGCATTTGTTTGTCCGCGAAGGAGGACACGCCCCGGCTCTAGCACCTTAGAGGTAGTACTCTACATGCGAGTGTGGATTCGCCGGCACGAAGGGCTCCTCCTCCTTCTTCACGCCAAACGACCGCCGTCGGTTGCCCGCCTAGCGGCGGCGGGGAGGTCGGCTCCTCCTTCAAGTGGCGGTGCGGTGGGGGTGGGGAGTCTCCTTCACATTACGTACAATCTAGGTGTGACTGTGCGGCGGGGAGGGTGGCTCCTTCACGGGGCGTCCGATTTGGACGCCGCGGTTTCACAGAGGGGACGACAACGCCGACCGCGATTGGTTAATGACTGCCGGAGCATGATCTCCATCTATCGCGTGAACTCGTCATTAGTCGTGCTAGCAGCGATGAGCAGGGGTGCCTTCTCCTCCTCCCGAGTTGGCGTTGAACGGATCTCCTCTTCGTCGTCAGAGGAGGTCAGCTCCGGCTTTATGTTGAAAGGATCTCTCCATGATAAGTAGCCCTGATACCATAGGCGGCAACGCCAACGGATCCGGAGCTACCCCGGATAGCCGCTCGTCGGCCACCAGTTGGAGGCTTCTGATTTGTTGCCCATGTTGGCGGCCGGTGGTAGAGGTGTAGTGGTGTGTGGCAGGTTTGAAGAGGAGGAGGATAGGGCTTTGCGTCCGCGGCCGGGTGACTTTAATAGTCGGGGCAGGCAGACCGGCGAAGCTTCAATACAAGCAGCATAGGAGTAGGTCTCTCGGTCAACGCGCTGTGTGCATGTGGGTTGGCGTTTGACCTGTCAAGCCTGAGTGAATACACGACGTGAATGGTTATAGAACAACCACGACGGGAGAGGGGTTTCTCTGTGGGTCCAAGTTGTCACAGTGCAGCGTGGCAGACATTCGGACTCCCCAACCTCTCCAATTTGATGCCGGTTTGTGAGATTTCGGATGTCCGGACATCCAAACAGTTTTGATGAATCGCTTTGGATGACTAAAAGTGTCTGGACCGTTTAATTTAAACTTTTGCGGTCTCGATTAGGTGAGAGTGAGAAACAGCTACGACGATCAATTCTAGTGATCAATTTGTTTTTGGATGATCAAATGGATAGGAAGATCAATTTTATAATTGTGCCAATTGAGCAGTTGGATGTAACATCTTGCCGTTTTTTGAGTTTGTGTTATCCTGAAAGCATTCTACTCTTTTGAGATGTGTGACTAAGTTCTTTGTGTTATCACCAGGTTCATAGTGCTCCATCCATGATAATTGCCAAATAAGTTGTGTGGGAGAAACTTGTCTCTCTCCTAATTAATATTATACACTGGGCATTGTATTATTATATCACAATTTGGTGGTTTGTATCGTAATATTGTTTGTATTTTCTATGTTCTTTTTATGCAAATAATTAGTCAGTACAGTATATCAGTGTTTTTGTCTGTATGATACTAACTGTTGATTCCTTCCAACTGTAAGGGGAGCTGAAGTATGTCCTCTCGTGTCCTCTCGTGTCCTCTCTTGTAGTCAATATAGTATACTGTATTAGATTCAAAGTTATGCAATGAAGACTACTACTATTATATTTTGGCAAGGAGGGAGTGGCGTATTAATGCTGAAGTTATGCGTGCATAATAATTATTTTTCCAAATTTTGGTTTCAGTTTATAACTTCAAAAATGCTACACCTATGTAATGTTTTACGAAACATTACGTAAATCCTTTGACCGCTAATCAAACTGTCCCCCCTGATTTTCAGTGTGGGCCTGCGCCCCAACTATGGCCCAATATAAGACAGCCACGTCGGATCGTACGTAAGTTACGTAGAAGACGTTATGTAGGTGTAGCTTTACTCTTATATAATTTGGTGAGGGTGAAACCAGAATTTCCCCGCTACCGAGAAATAGGAAAAACCCGTGAGAGAAAATGGGCTTGAGATAATAGAATTTGTTGGCTATTACAATATATACACTCTTAAAAGTTTGATGACATTTGGACTATGCAATGGCATGTGTACTACTAGCTTTTATCATCAGCAATGCAAAATTGTAAATCATTGCATATCTATTGCTGATTTCATTCTCTGCTGTAGCACGTTGATATCAACTCTGACAGCATGGATTTTCAGCACAACGCGGAGGCAGTTAATTTCCGGTGACGCACACCATGGATCCCCAGACATTTGTGAGGCTCTCAGTCGGGCAGCTTGGCCTGAGGCTCCCCGGCGCAAGCGCCAGAAAGGCTTGCCACTGCGAGATCCGGCTCCGAGGCTTCCCGGTTCAGTTAGCTCCGGTGCCTCTGGAAAATTCTTCAGAGTTCCACCTTGACCCGCACGCCAACGCGGCGGTCTTCTCCCTGGACGAGCCCGGCCTCAAGGCGCTGCCGACGTCGAGGTGGTTCCGAGCCCCGGAGCCGCCGTGCCTCGAGATCGTTGTGTACGCGAGCAGGCGCGACGGCGGCGGGCACTGCGTCGGGTTGAAGCGGCGGCTGGTCGGGGCGGTCAGGGTGGACGTCGGGCCGGAGTGGCGCGACGGCAAGCCTGTGCTGCTTCGCCACGGCTGGACGGGCATCGGCAGGGCGGCGGAGCTGCACGTGCGAGTGAGGGTGGAGGCTGACCCTCGGTACGTGTTCCGGTTCGAGGACGAGGTCGCGCTGAACCCGCAGGTGGTGCAGCTCCATGGCGGCGCCAGCCAGCCCATCTTTAGCTGCAAGTTCATCCGCGACGTGAGGCGGTGAGTGCTCTGCTGTTGCTGACTGCTATGATATGAAAATTCTGGACAAAATGAAAGCTTGATGAGGTTGTTGATGTCTGATCTCTGATGTGTTGGCACTTGGCAGGGCGTCGCAGCCGGATCATTTGGGCGGGCAGTACTGGTCGAGCTCCGGAAGCGGCGTGGAGAAGGAGATGGAGATGGCGGGGAGGAGGAGGGAGAGGAAGGGCTGGAAAGTGGCGATCCACGACCTGTCCGGCTCCGCCGTGGCCGCGGCGTTCATGGCCACGCCGTTCGTGCCGGCGACGGGCCGCGACACGGTGGCGCGGTCCAACCCAGGCGCGTGGCTCATCGTCCGCGCCGACACGACGGGGTCGTCGGAGAGCTGGCAGCCGTGGGGCCGGCTGGAGGCGTGGCGGGAGTGCGCCGCGCCGGCGGGCGGCAAGGACGCCGTGTGCCTCCGGCTGCATCTTCTCCCGGAGCGGCGGGACGCGTGCGTGCTCGTGTCCGAGACGCCTCTGAGCTGCGACAAGGGCGGGGAGTTCTCCATCGACATGGACAGACAGTCGGTCCTCCCGGAGGACGCGGTGGCGTCGGAGACGCCGTCGGCGTCGTCGTACTGCGCGGCGAGCATGGGGGAGTCGTGCGCGGGCGGCGGGTTCGTGATGAGCTGCAGCGTGCAGGGCGAGGCGGCGACGGGCAGCAGGCCGCCGCTGGTGCACCTCGCCGCGCGGCACGTCGTGTGCATGGAAGACGCAGCCATGTTCCTCGCGCTCGCGGCCGCCGTCGACCTCAGCGTCAAGGCGTGCCGGCCGTTCCGGAGCAGGACGGCGGCGGCCAAGAAGAAGACGGTCGCTGGCTCCTCTTCCCCCGATCCCCTGGAGCTCGACACGTAGATTAGCTAGAGCTAGCAGTCCTCACTCCTCAGTCAAGCATCAGATCATCCATGGTCACTCTGTAAATCCACTTGTTTCGACTAAACTTGTTGAAAGCACTACCGGTTCTTTCTGAACCTGCAGACACGACGACGATTCAATCACGCAGAGGCGCAGTTCGCAGGATGACTCACCCTTCGTGGCGCCCCTTGACCCTCTCACGCCGGGCCTCGGTATAGGCTTTGCCGCCACAACTGGGTGTCCGGAGCGTCGTTGCCTTGGACGTGAATCTTGCCGTCGCCGCGACAAGGACCCAATGTCGGGTTCCTCGGATGACGCGACGCTCTCCTCGGCGGCGCGCATGTACCTCCAGTCGTCGCTTAGAGCAACTCCAATCGGCCAAGCCAAATAGACGCACGATTTGTCCGTTTTTTATCCATTTGGGTCGGTCAGATGAACAAACGCATCT